AAGTTAATCCCATCTTCCAACTCCAACTCAACCTCGAATACAATTTCTTGATAATATTTCAAATGAAATTATTTTCAACCCTTTGCAGCACTCGAAGTTTTTTTTTCTTTTTTTTTTTTTTCATTTCATTTCATATATTACGAACAACTTATAAAGCAATTTTAATAGGAAAAGTCATATTTGCATATTATAAATAAATTCTAAATAATATAACTATTATACGGGGGTATTTATAATATATTATAGGTGATATATATTGGGTGTGTATGTGTGTGCATCCTCGTCGTTCGAATTGATCCAAGGGAAAGCTTTCGCAATGCTGTTGCCTTCTCCCCACTCTTGCAATGCGGAAGCCGTACTGCTCTACTCTCAAGGTCACTGTCTTTCTTTCTCTCCAAAGTAATAATCTCCATGACCTTTGTCAAATTTTATCTCGATCGAACGATTATTATTTCTTTCTTTTTTTTCTATTTTTTTTTTTCCCCTTTCTCTTTGACACTAAACGCTTGGACGAAGAACTTTTTTTTTTATTGTCCTTTAGCTTGATGGATCATAATATCGATCGTAAATCGATCGAAATCGCGAAATAAGGATAAAACGAAAATGCCAGGATGGCAGGTGCATTTTGCAGGTGAGATCCTTCGATGCAGCTGCTACTGTCGCTGCTGCTGCTGCTGTTTTTGCTGTTTTATACGAAGAGTTGAGTTATTTTTTTTTTCTTTTTTAGTAGCATCAACAATATACGAGATTAAAACTTATATTATATTTTTATGGGACATGTTTTTCTATGGGTATAAAATATTTTATTTTTGTTTACTTTCTTTTTTTCTTTCTTCTATCAATCAGAAATATATAAAAGTATTTTTCATTAATCTTTTATGTAATAAAAATGATTACAGATCTATCGTTAAAAATATACTTGTTTAACGTATTTTAAATACGTGACTATGTAACAAGATGAAAGCTTCAAATATTGTGTATGCGTTCACGTACGTTGCATGTACACTCTATCAATTTGTATTCTTTTGATTGCACTTTGCAAGCACTGCACGTCAGCTTTATCTTTGTTCCCTTCTCGGAGTATACGAATAATACGCACGCCACATTCTACTTGTTGTTTATCCTCGATAAATATTCACATATATCTGCATTTTATTGAAAATTTCAATAACCTTCGATATATATTACAATGTTTTAATTGTCCTACTTTTTAAATTGATATACTTTTGTCTTATCGCAACACGAAAATGTGAAATCTCGAAGAGATTGTTCCTTCTTTGGAACACAAACAATGAAAAATAAGAATAACTCGACCAAATTAGATTTAAATAATTAGCAATATTATTATTATTATTATTATTATTATTATTATTATTATTATTATTATTGTTATTATTATTGAGAACTAAATCGATCTTTTACGTTGATGAAGCATTATTGTTACGCTAAGCTTAAGGGGGGTTTCCCAAGGAGAGAGAGTTGCGTTAAATTAGAACGAACCTAATCTGTTTGAAACCTTTCAAGAGTATAAATACAAACCTAGAATCGTCTTTGTGTCCACTAAATGCAATGACTAGCCACGAACTATTAAGAAAATTAATTATAGTCTCGTACTACAATTGTTATTAGACGAATGTCAATTTTGATATTTCAAAATTGATCTAAAGTTCGCATACTAAAACGATTTAATTACGATGAAAAATAAAAACCAAAAAAAAAACGAATATGAAATAAATGATAGAAATTAATAATTGATAAAAAAAAAATATATATATATATATATATATATAATTAATAATATAAACGACGTAAAAAGAAGTACGCATTGAATGATAAAAATAAATGAGAATCTTGGTTCAAAGTCTGGGATTTAATCGTCGACCTTATCGCACTGCTTGACTATTTCAAAATATCGCTTGTTTTGTCGGCCGAACGAATGAACAAATGAGAGAACGAACGAAAGAACAAACTTCGATGTAAGAAGAAATTCTTTTCTAAAAGAGTTTAAAAGAAGATTTAAAAAAAAAAAAAAAAGCTAGAAAGAAAAAAAAATAAGGAGAGTGAAAAGATTGTTTGAATGTGCGAAAAAAAAGGGTGATGGTAGAAAGAAAGGTACGACGACCGTCGAAAAGGTTCAACGTACCTCTCTCTCTCTCTCTCTCTCTTTCTCTCTTTTTCTCTTTATCTTTCTCTTTCGCACACGATCTTTCTTCTTTGCTTTTAACATCACGGAAGCGAAGCCACGAATTTCGAGTGGAATGACCCTGAATTGCATATGGGGATATGCATCGAAGGCTGCACGCTCTAATTCCGGCTTACTCACCACTCACTCAGCAGACAAGTTCGATCGTTTTCGTAGCACGCGACAACATTTTCATTTCTAAACGGTAAATACGTCATTGATTATTCCAATGAAAGCACAACGACGAATTGATACAGACAAAAAAAAAAATAATATAAATCTCGTTGAAATGATTTTTTTTTTTTTTCATTATGAAAATTAAAATATTTTTTGTGCAGACACGTGTTATTCGTATATTCCATAATTATTTAAATTTATTTGTACTTTTTTCTTTTCTTTTTTGATATGAAGAGATTTGAAAACGATTTGCCATTGGGCAGAAGGCCCCTATTGAACTACCACGTTCCATATTTCATCATCGTTGGATACTAACTCATAGCTTTCGCGTGCACTCGAGCGTCTAGCAGTACGATACACATCCATACACACATACACACATACATAGATACTTTCTTCCCTCGAAAACGGATCAGGCTGCTGCTTTAGACGTTATAACGATACGTGTAATATCTGCATAGAGACGTATACACACATGTACTTGTATAGAACTTCACCAACGTAACATATACGTATATAGTCACGTATTTTCTCTAAATCTAAATCTAAATCTACTTTGACATAAATCCACTTGCAACTGTTAATCCGACGTAGATTAATATCATATACGCGTGCGCATACATTTACGTATTTATTTACTTTTATTTTTATGGTTTTTTTTTTATTTTCAACAAGCAAAAATAAAACAAGAGCAAAAGTTTGTTGAATTATAGATACGGCAAAGTTTCATTTCCTTTCTTCTTCCCCATATAAAATTCTATTCGATAACTTTTTTTAAACAATTTATATCCAAACGAGTAGTAAAGTCATTTAAAAAAGAACACGTTTCCAGATTTACGAGTGTTGTATAGGTGAATATCGAAAAAGAAAAAAGCAATTTTTCTATCCCTTTTTAAATTCAAAATTATTTTAACAATTTTTCTCTCTCCCTGTCCATCCGTCTACCTGTCTGTCTGGACAACACATGAATTCGTATTGCTAGGAATGGTCGACAAATGGAATTGGTCATCGAACGAAAGCGAAGGTACAGATCGAGAGAACTGAGGATGACCACCAACAGTTTGTGGTATGATGACAGAAAGAGAGAGAAAGACCTCCTCCCCCCCTTCCCACCTCATTCCAATCCCTCCTCCCTCTCTAGCAATGAAATCGAACTGCCATAAACCTGCTAATTTGCAAGAGTAATAATTATTTCGTCGTTGGGTCTGCGAATCACTGTTAGAGACATCGATTTCAATGTTATAATACATTGTCCACTCTCTCTCTCCCTCTCTCTCTCTCTCTGTCTCTCCCTCTCACTCTCTTTGTGATATTCCTCGATTATTATCGAACGCATTTCTGTGGTATCTCTTCATTATCAAACTCAGATTGAATATTCCTAGGAATAATGATTTATTTTTAAATAATTTAATGTCTGTCTCTCTTTCACACACACACACACACACACACACACACACACACACACACACACACACACACACAATATATATATATATATATATATATACCCTCCTATAACGCGGTGAGTGCGTACCGCGTTGTATGAAAACCGCGCTATAAGAAACGCAGAATTAGTACAAATCACATCATTCGTACCGCGTTATATGGAGACCAATAAGGACAAGATAAATTATAAATTATTTTTATTGAATTGAAGAGTTTATATAAAGAAATGATACCAAAACTAAACTAAAAAACTGTTAGAATTAAAACAGAATTTTAACCGATTTAGAATTTCGATTTTATCTTCAAGAGATATAAACTTTCTTTTTAACCCTTTCCTTGTTTCTTTCGTGTTTGACATGATGCAAATCTAGGGTTAATAATTACTTTATTATTATTATATTAGAACAAATGAAGAATATTACTTACAGTATTGTAATATAATATATATAATATATATAAGAGGGCTGTCGCATTTTCAGCTCCGCGTTATATGGAAATCGCGTTATGAGAGTACCGCGTTATAGGAGGGTTGACTGTATATATATATATATATCTTATCTCTATAAAATTCCCCTGTCACAGTGTTTGTTATTCTTATTCTCCGAAACGACTTGACCGATTTATATGAAATTTTTTGTGTATATTCGATTGGTATGAGAATAGTTTTTCGTATATTTCTTATACCCCTGAGTGATAAGGGTGACCTACCATAATTATTTTTCCTTTAAAAGGATATTAAGAAAAAAGAGAAAAAGAAGACAAATGTTATGCGCGTAGATTCAGATCTATCTATATATTTATTAGCCACAGCAACGCGTGGCCGGGGCACCCCTAGTATATATATATATAAATACTTAGCGATGCGTCGATGAATAAACTTTAATTAAACTTACTATTCTATTGTATTTATTAATAATTTGATTTATTGTTACAGGGCTGTCACGGATCCCAGGGATGGTAGGAGAGTGGCCTTAAAGAAACTGCCGAACGTCTTTCAAAGTCTCGTCAGCAGCAAGCGCGTTTTCAGAGAGCTGAAGATGCTCTGTTTCTTCAAACACGAAAATGTAAGTTTAAATGTCAAAGAATTAGTGTAGGCTAGAAAAAAAATATACTGGGTGATTCACTAGCTGGATGATTCACTTAAATACCTTTGAAAGTACGATAGTAGCAAAAAAGTGGATAAGGAAAAAGTTGCAAGAAAAATTTAGGACTACGATATGACGTTAGTATTTGTTTCCTAGATTGAGTCATTTTAGAAATTATTTGGTCAACTTTGTTTTCTTCAATACAATATTATATTTTAATATTTATATAGGTGTAAATGTTAAATTAATAAATAAGTTTTAAATCTTTATGTGAAATATAGTTAAAGTGTTCGTGCGCAACACTCAGAAAAGATCGAGAATATTTAGTAAAAGATGGAGAGTAGAAAGTTTGACTTTCTATATGTTGTATTTGGTATGAAAAAGAGATGTAAAAATAAAATAAGAACAGAAAAAAAGGAATCATAGGTAGTAAGAAGAATCTCCTCTTTAGGAGGTTGCGCTTGTTCATTCGTTTCTTCCATGTTTCCCGTGATCATAATCTCTCAATAAGTTAGTGAAGTCGAGTTCTCAAATAGTACTATGCTACGAAAGTACATTTATTTTTCAAAGAGTTTGGATTTAAGTATTGGCAATGCGCGAGTAGATATCTTTCTCTAAACACACATACGCATGATCGAACGCACGTATGTCTACTACTATATTCGAGTTTCGTTCGAAGAAAGTTTCTTTAAAGGCATCAGAAAACCCTTAACTCTTCGAGTGGCTGCTCTCTTCAATGTTATGTTTGTGTTGGTACTTGAGTCTGATCCTTTTTCTTGGATTTATCCTACTGTGTTGTCGGCACACGTTTTATTATCATCTACTCTTTCCATCTCTTATGGCTTCCTTTTTTTTTCTCTCTCTTGCATTGTGTTATCTATACCGGAAATTTATTCATCTTATTACTCGATTTCTTCTTCTTCTTTTTTCCTAATTGTCTTTCTCAATTCTCAATTTTGTTTTCTTTTTATTTTGTTTTATTTTCATTCGTATACGCGAGTTCGATTTAATATGCATAGTGATGATTAATATTTTGTATCATCGATTATACGATATCGTATTAAATTTGGTGGCAAGTCGATTAAATATTAAATGTTAAATTTATTATTGACTCGAGATTAATTAATTGTTCAAATGTATTTTCATAATGGAAAATTTCACATAATTACTCGTATTGCTTCAATATTATTCTTAAACGAGAGTGGGGGAAATAGTAATAGTAGACGTCTAAAATTTCCCTAAATGTTGTTTCCAATTTCAACAAACTCTAAACAAATCAAAACTACGAAATACATTGTGATTATTTGTAAAATCATTCTTTTTAACAAAATGAACTAAACTTTTATTTTTCGAATCATCCCGAGCTTTTATTTCAAGCTAATTTCAAGTTAAAACTTCTAAAAGCTTAACTTTTTTTTGTTCTTTATTTCATTGAAAATTTCGAATAAGTTTCTTGTAGATTTTCAAGTAAATAATGATCCTTTAATGTTTCCCTTGGAATAAATTTCTTCCTTTCTTTTCTATTTTATTTTTTACTTTTAAAACTGGAAAAATCAAAGAGGTAAATCTTAAAAGTTTGATTCTCTTGTTAATTTTCAGGTACTCTCAGCCCTGGATATCTTACAACCGCCGCATCTCGACTTCTTCCAAGAAATGTATCCTTTTCTATCATTTAATTTATAATGTAAGAGCAACTTACTTTTCACACAAGAGGAAAGGTAATTTGTTAAACTTTCTTAGATTTTGTGTGTGTGTATATTTCTCATTCTTTCGTACTACCTAAGAAGAAAGCGAGCAAACGAGTAAATAAACAATGGAAAACGTGGAAAATTTGTGGAATGTTAGAATGTGCGAAGGAAGTATCGCTACTACGTAAATTATTTGCGTGTGGGAGTTTATCCATTGAATAGAATTCCAACGATCACAATGTATGCGCATGCATGCATACATACGTGTATACACATAGAGATATAGTGAATAATAACTATCCGCGATATCTCTAGGCTAGTAATACGTTTCTACTGCGTACTAATATGTACAAAGTAATCGAATATGTCGCATCCTGTGCTTCTTACAACCAATAGATAAAAATTTTTTTTTCTTCTTCTATTTCTTCTATTATGGTATCATAGTGTAGCAAGCGGAAAAAGAGCGTTACTTTTCTCATAAATCATTTCTTTTTGATAATACTGAAACTTTTGTTTTAACTTCTTTTCCGTTTATTAACTTTCAAACTGGAATATATTGAAAGCTCGTCACACAAATTTCACGAGAAAACTTTGCTTATCTTAAATTTAATAAAAAATCACAGTAACTATTCATCGATTGATCGATTAATTATACGATTAATATTCTTCGTAATATAACTGTAACGTCCTATAAACGTCAATTCTTGTTTAGAAATCTTATTAAGTTTTCATCGAGTATGCTTTTGCCATATAATAGCTGCAGCAACAGCACCACCACCACCACCACCACCATTACAACCATCACCTAACAAACCATACGAGATTTCCTATCGGCAACTTAGAAAATGTATATGCTTAACGGTCGAATCTTTGATCCATCGATCAAGGAGAAACCGATCCATTTCTGAGAACGGGATCCCGTTCAATGCATTCTCCCCAGAAGTTAATCTCGGTCGTGCCGGTCCGATAAATCAGTTCTCCGCTCTTCTTTCTCTTTCTCTCTTTCTCTCTTTCTCCTTTTATTGGACCTCCTTGTTACAACGTAAATCATCATTAGTAATGCCGGTTATTATACTTTGCGGCAGCATCATCTTCATCTTTATCTTCAATCTTATTCAAAACGTTTCTGTATCTCTCTATCTTTCCCTTGCTTTCTTTCTTTATTTCTTTCTTTATCTGCTTATCTCATCTTTTAGATTACGCAGTTCATATACGAGTCAATAACATTATTCACTTGCAACCTGACTTGACTGACTCTCTCTCTCTCTCTTATCCACAATTTCTCTCTTTATTCGAATTATAATTCTATCAGTTCGATTAGTTGTTGCTTTTATTTTTCATTTCCTTTTTTGGTAAGTCAATATTGAAATTAAAAAAGCATTGATGTCTGCAAATGTTTGATCAATTTTAAACATTTGCCTTATTCTTAACATTTCGAATTTATTCCTTTTTTTTTTCCTTTTAATTTAAATATTGGAATTCAAAGTGTTGCTATTAATGAGGCTTGTGAAAAAAAAATACTTTGTGATTTTTAGTTGTTGTTGTTAAATATCGAACATTTGCAATTATTATCCAAGTATTCTACTAATTTTATTATTATATATTAATAGTCCTTTAAATAATTATCGTCAATAACCAAATTCCTAAATAATTAGATTGATTTCCTTATGGTTCAATTCTTACGATTAGTTTTGTTGAAATTAAATTTAAATATTGAAAATATTAAATATTAAGTATAGAAGTAAATTTTTCGTTTGAAAATATTTCCTTTAAAAGGTCGACCACAAAAGTAACTATAGGAACTTAACCGATAAGCTACCGGTTGATATCTAATTAAGGAACCACTCAGGATCAGGGCGTAGAGTTGCGGCGGAAACCGCAAACAGAAATGAGTGCAACAGATATAGCTATATGTACATATGTATGTATATATGTATGAAGAGTAAGAGAGAGAGAGAGAGAGAGAGAAAGGGAAAGGGTGAAGGGCCGGAAGCTTCGTTGAATTCTAACACTGCTTACGAAGGACGTCGTTCCTCCTCATCCTCTTCCTCCTTCTATTTCGCAATGAATATACCATGCACGTTGCTAGATGCGTTGAATTCTCTGCTGCTACTGGCGACGTTGGGTCGATCATAATCACGGATTATTAATGCAACCTGTTCGGGAGAGTAGTAGACCTATGTGACACGCTGTTGCATCCCAATAACTCTCCTAGATTTAACTTTGTCTAATGATTCCTACCGAGAGTTCATCATACTAACTTGTAGCAAGTTGTTACTCCACGATAGATCATTCTAATCATCATCACCATCATCATCATCATCATCTTAGAGATCTCCGTTAAAAGTAGATTTGATCAATCTATTATGATTGAGATTATACTTTCGTTTCTTTTGATTAATATACTTCACACTCGTCCTTTATATTTTGTTCTATATGTTAGATAATTAGATCAATGAGAAAAGAAACACGTTGCTTTAGTTTATTTTGTTTGTTTTGTTTTATCGTAGAATCTTGATTTATCTTCGTGATAATCTACTGGAGATTAAAGAGGAGTAGGGGAAGGAAAGAAAAAAAAGGCTAGCGTTAGCATTTAATTTGCATGTACTTGTTAGGATATAGGATATTATTGTAATAGCGTTAACAGACCCGCATAATGTAATGCACTTTAATACCCGCATCATATCGAGAAAATTGATATCGATTATTGAAAGATTATTCGTGGTGGTACATTTCTTGTTCTTTTTTTGGTCTTTTTTTACATCTTTTATTCTCTTAATATATATATATCTCCATATCATAAAATAATTATTAATGGAAGAACGAGATTGACATCAATAACAGAGCTCTTTATTGGCTAATGGGATTAATGAATTACAAAATATTTGATTATTTAACAAATTTTCTATTTTATCGTAAAAATAACGATTGAAATGATTCATTCTGTATATGTAATTGAAATGTGCAAGAAGTAGAGATGCGATGATACGAATGAGGAAACACAGAAATCGCCAAGTGCAAACCGATATAGAAAACCCGAAGAGGTTCTATAAATAAATCCTAGGATCTATGATGACAGCTCATACGAGTAGGATAGAGAAATACTAAACTAGAAGAAGAAGAAGCAGAAGATGAAGTCGAGTAATCCGACTTTCCCTCCACCCTTCAACCCCTACCCGTTACTACTTAAAAATAGTCTACCTTTTTTTTCTCGTGACTACGTCGATGAACCAACTGCTTCGAACTTTGAACGTGAAAGCCAAACCGGAAACTAACTAAGTAAGCAAAAAACAAGAAAAAAAAATGATATTATAATTGAAAATCACGCATGAGTCTCGCATTAGCTTAGTATCATGCGTCTGCGAAGAAAAAGAAGATATTAAGAGGGGGAAGGAGGAGGAGGAGGAGGAGGAGGAGGAGGAGAAGGAGGAGGAGGAGGAGAAGGAGGCCAAAGGGGAGGGTCAGTATGGCCAACGTAGACTAACAGAACGTCCGGCTCGAACGAGCTCGACCGGATGCGGGGAGAAGCTTTATGGTGTTTCCGAAAGGCAAATGAGATAGAAAGGGTTCTTCTTCTCTGTGATGCTTGTTTTTACGTCCGCTTGTATACACACACATTTTCTTGCCTGACGTGTTAGCACTTCTCTCTTTTATCGTTCATTTCACATACGTTTTTTTAATTATATATATACCATTATAAAATTCATCTTATTAATCTAACCGTTTTTGATGAATCCCATCCCATTAGTTTTTTACTTATTTTTGAAACATCACATTTATCTTACGATTTGAATTATGTCGTTTTTTTTTTTTTTTTAAGTGTTTTTCCATAATTAACCTCTTAAGCACGGTTAAATATTGCGTGGGGTTGTTTCTCTATACGGCAGAGTTTCAACGAAAATTACGTGTAAACGATAAAATTACGATGTGTGACGAACAATGGCTGTTCTATTATGCGAGTACATTTTAATGAAGTTTTTCTATGATTAAATTATTATATTTCTTTAAAATACTATATTGCACATACTATAACTTTAACAATTTACTTTAATAATTAATAATAAAATTATATGTATAATATATTTTTAAAAGATGTTATTCTACAAAACTGCTATAGCGGTGCGTCGTACTAGAATATGACATTCGCGAAAATCACTATAGTGGCGCGTCATGCCTGAAAGGTTAATGAATTTTTTTCAATTCTTCGTATATATAATTTAAAGTTTCATTTTGTTTTTAATTAAAAATGAGATAAAAGACGGGGATAAACATCGTTTTATGGGGAAATAGGAAATGTTGTAAAATGAGGATTAAAAAAAGGATAAAAAAAGGATAAAAAAAGGGAGGAAAAAGGTAAAGAAATCTTTGGAAAGGGGGTGGGTGGGTGAGGCGCTTTGTTCGGTCGATTAAACCGCTCCTCTTTCTCTCTTTTTCTTCTTCTTCTTCTTCTCTTCGTTTCTCCACGGCTCAAATAAATATCCCTCATAAAGCAGACAAGGGTGCAAGGAACGAACGAATTTTATATCGCCTATGGCGAGCCACACATCGCGTGCCCACAGCCATTCAACTTCATCCTCTAGATTATATTTTTTTATTTTATTTTTTGTTACTTGCCGCTCTGGGATGTATACGCCGCTATGCTAATAATAATCACTCTATTTTCTTTATTTTTTTTTTTTTTAAATGATCGGTAATAGATAAATGACAGCATTTATAATCCACGTAAGATGAACCAACCTATCTTTTATGGTTCATTATCTGATATTTCTTTTTTCTTTTTTCGATGGAATTAATCAGAGCGATGAACAAGAACGTAATAAAAAAAAAAAAAAAAACAAAATGATAAAAAGGTATATATCTCACGCACGTTCTATTACATCGGTAGACCATTAAAAATTGAGAAAATATTTTCTTTATTACCATAATTCCATCATCTATAATTTTATCTTTGGAATATACATATATAT